TTTAGGTGAGAGGAGGATAGGAAACCATATTGGAGCCAAGAATTTAACCAAGATTGGTTCCCAAATCTTGTAGCCTTATCTAATGATTGCCAATTTCATCTCTATAGTTCGGTCTCAGTTGAGAGGTGGATGCCTCTCAGGAACTTAGCCCAGTGCTAGAGGAGCATTCCGTAAATCCAGGAACAAGAAGCAACCTACTTCGTACAGTTTCTGCTGTCTTTCTAGCAGAAATTTTCTACTGTGAGTGGACATTGCTGTTTTTCTTGCATCCAGGCCAACTCCAGCCGGGCGTACTCAACACCTTGGAGTATTACTGTGAGACAGACATGGTGAAAAGATATTCTTGAAGCCAGGAATTACTGTATACCAGGTTCTCTGATTTTCCTATTCCTCGTCTTTTATCTTTTGGACATTTAAACTACTTCTTGATCTGCATCTCAGGTGAATTAAATGTCCTGAATCTACGAGTTTCAAAGCCCATTGCTGAGGCTAGGAAGCTCACGGTAGGATAGCAAAAGGGTTAGATTGACAGACGGAAGTACCACCACAGCTGGGTGAAGCCCTCTAGGAATTATGAATAGGAAGAGAAAACTCTGTGGAAATCAGATATTTCAATCTCTTCTTGAATCAAAAACATCCTATACTAGGCTATCTGTTCTCCAATTGCTGATTTAATTATGTCTTTATTGTTTTATTTTGTTTTGAATGATTGATCTACACTACCTCAAAATTCTTCCAGTATTGTAGTGTGGGCGCTGTTTAGGGAAATCAAGGAATTCATCTATAGAGGAGGAAGGAATCAAATCCCTGCTAGCATCTATGAAACTCTACCGATGGTTGCCATGGGGTTGGCAAAGAATCAACTTGGGTTGTAGAATTTGGAAGGTATCAGGATTTTTAAGTAGTCTTGCTGGATAATAGTTTCTTGTAGTTTATTTCTATAGTTCTTTATTGGCTGAATCTACAGTGTTTAGCATCAGAATCAAAATCTATACCAAGTAAAAACTGAACTTGTATGAAATCTGTAGCTGCATGTTAGTTGTTGTGTTCTGATAGCTGTTTTGAGTTAGTGCCAACTGTAAAGACTGTTATGTCTTCTCTATAATAATGTATGTTACTGATAGTAGATATAACCTTCCTTCCATTCTTCTTCATTTATCTTGTAACAATGTCACTTTGTTAACGATCAATAATTATTCTTTAATTTTTTTATGTAGCATAACTAAATAAAATGATAATTTTTTAAAGAATGATTTAAGAGATCCTCATATAAATGTGATAGCCTGCTCACACAATCAAGCTTTCAAATAGGACAAATCAATATCATAGTCCCTCTTCACTTCTAATATAACCACCTTTGATTTTAATCGTATATCCAATGAGCCAATGTTGAACTTATCGGTGGCCTTCCAATCTAACACTCAAGGTATAATTGTGTACCAATTCAAAGATCGTGATCACAAACATACTTGGGTTTGCCAGTTTATTAGCTCATAGCCTCATTGAGGGCGTTTTTTTTTTGTTTGTTTGTTTGTTGAAACATGATGGATATGTGATAGTTCTTTATCTTCTTCCTTCACCTTAAATCTAAGGTTCATTTTTATTGCATGGATATGTAATATCTACTTCCGGTCTTCTTCATTCTCAAATAGCTGCTCAACTTGCAATTGAGCATGAGACAAACTGATGAGGACATAGCTCAGAGATTCCGACACGTGTACCGACGAAGAGATCGTAGATCGACGGTCACAATTCAGAGTCTTTACTTTTGATGTGTTTTATTTTATTTTCAGTTTTTTCCGAGTTTACCCCTATGGAGAGTGTTTTCTTATTGTAGCCTTAAGGGCATTTGTGTACTTTGCTTTTATTTATATTGGAGGCCTATATATAGTGGCCTTATGCTTTGTAAAAGGATGATGAATATTTGAATGAAAATTTTATGTTTGTCTTCTTCATCCTGTGTGTGCACTAGAGAAGGGAGAGAGAGCTCAAGGTGAGCAAGTGCAAGGCCCACCAGTAGTTGGAAGAGTCCGCGGCTCGTGGTTAGTTTATTTCTATCTTATTTGTGTTTTCTTTCATCTTCCTTTCCGCAATCCACCGTCGGTCATCCTTCCCACTCAAATTCTCCCCAAGCTCCACCACCGGCCACATATTTTTCCTCTCACTTTTTTTCCCAACACCCCAAAACCCGCCGGCCTACAACCCCCCTAAACTGAACCCCTACTTCCCCCAACCCGCCGGCTGCCTTGGCCTACCCAACCGCCGGCCGCCCCTCCCAAAGCCACCGTCACCACCACAGCCCGTCCCCATCTCCACCCCCATGCCGCCGGCCACCTCTCCCTCTTCCATGGAATAATGAAATTCAAATCCCAAAGCCCACAAATACCTTCCTAAAATAACTTCCCTCTATTAGGAAAGGGTATTTAATCGAATTCAATTCATATTTTTTAAATTTCAAATATCTCCCTCCCTAATTTAATCAAATCTGAATTTAAATTCAGATTTGATTTATTCCAATTATAAATACCTTGGGCCCACATCTCATAAATCAAATCCCAAATTAGCTCCCATATGACCGGCCCTCTCTCTCCACTTTCATTAAATGCTCCCAATTAAGACTCCTTAATCACCTCCCCATGCCACCTCCCCCCCCCCATTTCTCTCTCCCACTTTAATTCTCAACTTTAATTTGAATTCAAAATTCAAATTAAATACCGCCAAATCCACTTAAAAAAAATATGAAATTAATTTCAGATTTTTGGATTAATTTCCCTCTCCCCTCTTCTAACCTAATCCAAGCCCCCACCTAAATCGCCCCTCCCCTTCTCCCCACCGAGGCCGCCCCCTTTCTCTTGCATCCCCTCTCTTGGGAAACCCTAGTTTGTTCATGATATTTGATGCCAAGAGAAGAAGACGACTTCCTCTCCCAATCTCATCATTGGTGCATGGCCAATCCTGAGATCGACCACGGATTTTTATTCGACGAGCAAGGAAGGACAGATATCCTTGGTTCCCCGTTCTTTGACGTCTTCTTTGGCAACGACGAAACTGTTGAAGGATACATCGACCGCATCATATACCAACTAACATTGTCGATTGAAGAGCACCTTCCACCAGGTCGTTGGATAATCGTCGGACACCCACCGCCTCCTCCACCGCCGGCTACCGTTCCGTCAACGAAGGTCCTCGGTGCCATCTTCCTAGTGGTAACATCCTTATTCGTATGGTTCATCTTTCTCCGCTAAAGTCTAAGAGTGATTGAGTGAGAAAGTACTCAAGGTGAACCTCTCGTTGTTAAGTGTTGGGTTTTGTTATGAGCATGTAACATTTAATATTGTTTGGATTTTTTATTAAATTGTTTGGCTAATCTCAATAGCACTTCTTTGCCTAAGCAAGTTTAAAATTTTGAGTTCCGAAATCTATCTTTATTGCAAGCAATAATTCTATATTGGCACGTTTTGGCCAGTTGATTGTTATAATTTCTCAAGTAACTCCTACATGTTTCACATCACAAACTTTTGCCTGATGCCATTATATCAATAATCATTGAATTAAAGGTACTTTCAAGCACTGACTATTATAGCATGAGAGCTATTCATGTATTCTCCATGACATGAATTGGGCTATTAGGCCCATGGTACATGAAAAATTATCAGACCTAATCTATTGGCTGGCTTCGGGTTATTTACAAACTGGAGTGGTAATCTACAATTAACAAGTTAGCATGGGAGCATTCAGGTAACTACTATCATCTGAATTGCACATCCACAGCATCACCTAGTTTTGCATGTCTAGTGTTTACATCATTACTTATTTTTGCATGTGGTATATCAACATCATCTCTCACTTAAGCGGAACATAGTTAATTAATAGATCTTGTATTATCCTCGTTTTTACAAGAAACTACAATTTTAATATTCTTGTGAGCAATAGACACACCAATGAGTGAAATGTGCTAAATGGATAATGATATCACATTCAAGAAAAATGAAGGTCATAATATGCAAATAACTTGGTTGGAGAAATTAGAATTAATTACTGTGCTCCATCAAGGAGGTCTGTGCTCCATCAAGGAGGTGCATCATTTCTAATTTCAAAGTAAATTTATTCTTACCAATCTCTATCACTTTCTATATAAGATCTTTGAGATCTTCAAGGGAAATAATTCTTTATAACATCAATCTTTGATACATTTTCTAGTGAATATCCAACCTATTTGCCAATCTTCTTTCCATTCTCTTCTATACAATACAGTAATATTGATATTTGAGACACCTTTAGAAAATAATTGGTCAATATTTAATTTTATGGTCATTTTAACATTGTTCGATCAAAGATCAAACTATATTTGAACTTCATTCGAACATGTTTGAATATTATTCGAAGTATTTTCAAATAATAATAGAACAATATTTGAACATTATTTAATCATGGTTCAATCATAATGTGAATAAGGTCTAAATATAATTTGTGAGTATGTAATAACAAGTATAGAAGCACTTACTTTGATACTCTATCTAGCTCTATACTAGAGCTCATCAAACCAACTTAATCTATGATATGATACATGAGTGAAACGTCAAAAAAAAGTACCCATATATGTTGAAGTAGTCAATAAATCTAGAAATATCAAACTTCATCGACGTACACCATCCCAACCAAAGAACTCTCAGACAAAAGTATTATGACTACAGGAAAGGATAAGCCTAAGAGGGAATGAGGGACATCATTATTCCTTTACATCAAGATATATGTCAAAGCAAGGCATTTTAGTATGAAGGGAACTTTCGAGCATATTTCCCCTAGAAAATAAGTAATGAGCAAATGTCTCTAATTTCAACAATTATGTGGCATATAAAATCAAATTCCCTTTTAAAAGTTAAAACATATATTTTTTTTTATACCTGGGTCAAACAATTAGGACTAAAATGCTCAAATTAAAATTTCAAAATGGTTTAAGCCCAATCAATGAACTAAAGAGAAGCATTAAAAAAAAATACCTGCATATTTGAATCCTGGCCACCGGTTCGAGATGGTCTTTTGTTAAGATCAATCATTTTAGAGTCTGAATTACCATGATGATCATTGTTAGCAATTAATGTAGGAGGAGAAACTTCATGGTTTTGTTGCTTCTCTCTCACCACCGAATGAGATAAATGATCAAGATCCATATGGTTAGCGGAGTGATACTTGTTCTGTAAACTTGAATCCTCAGCCTGCCCCTGTTTATTGCCAACAAACTGGACAGCAAAAATAACCTATAATTTTTCCTAAATGAATAAAGTTGAACCGAAGAGTAATTTCTAACCTCAACCCTCTGCCTTAGTAGAAGGTATCTTGCATGAGTTCTTTTTCCTCCAACATGCACAATGGTGTCGCATTGCAAGCATAGGGAGCTTCCATCGATTTCACAATAGAAGAAAGCTACCAGCAGATCAAGAGTTAAGAAATGTTTGGAGGATAAGCATAATAAAAATAAGGCAGAATGTTGTCTGGAATTAGAGTACTAAGAGTACCAGGTGAAACTTCGCATATATCACAGCGGGGAACTTCACTAGGATCAGCAAGGCCTACACGTACATGTCGACCTGCAAGTTTATTACACTTGTGCACCTGCTCAAATTTTAGGAGAAAAAAAGTTTAGAATATTGCATATCATAAACTGATGTTTCTTTCCATTTCTATTTTTGTAAATTGTTTAAAAAGCGGAAACATAACCAGCTAGTATTTTGCATTAAAAAGTTACTAATTATATTTCATGCCAATTTACACGAATAAGAAAAGTAAGGGCAAAAATGTTGCCTGTTCCAGTATATAACATCCATGAATAATGATTACCTATGGAACCTGCCTTTCTTAATCAAGATGAACATAGTATGACACTATTGAAATCAGGAATTCAGATAATTCATAGAATATTCTCATTTAAGGACAATTCTCCTCGAAGCCAGAATGAAAAGGTTGACATCGTTAAAACGAAATTCAAAAGTTGAATGGTAAAGATGCGTATGTGTGCCATGTTTTGATTCTCATAAAATCCTGTAAGTGTGTGATGTCTTTTTTCTCATGAAAGTGCATTTATAACCAGTATATATTAATTTCATGGAAAATACTAATATGACCAAGTTGTGGAAAGCTATGAAATGGTGGAATTGAAACACATAAATTTTGAAGTTCACATCTTGAAGCTTAAATTGTTCCCACTACTTCAGGCTCCAACTCAAATTGACTAGTAGTTTATGTCATAGCATCTAGAATTCCTAATATACAAATAAATAATACAATTGGTGAAAATCACACAACTGAGATTAACAGTTTCAAGGACACCAAATAAGAATCCATCTTCTTTGGATGTAAATAAAAAATGAAAGAAATACAAGTCAAATAATAATTCAATGATTAGTCAAATAAAAAAATTTCAAACAAAAAATTATAACCATGAAAAGAAAAACTCAAATAGGATTTTCAATGAAATTAGAAAACAAGTTATAATATATTTAACTAAAATCAAGCACACTAGCAAAAGCAATTACAAATAATATATAAAAGAAAGAAAAATTGATTAAAATGGTCCCTAAATTATCTGGAGAGGGGGCTTTAGTTCTAAACTATTTAAAGCATCCAATTTAGTCCCTTGACATCTTAAAAATGATCTACAATAGTCCCAATGTTAGGATTACTATTTAATTTGACTAAAATTTCTTGAATGAGGTGACGAACAAGGGTATTTCATGGAAGTCAAGTTACATAAAAACTTCATTTTTCAAATAACACTGTTATAACCCATCTCATGAGCAAACTTCACATGAAATTTTTGTCGGATTAAATAGTAAATCTAATAGTGAGACTCTGTTGTATTTAAAGAGTCAAAGGATTATGATTGACACCTTAAATACGCTGGAAATAAAATGACATCTAATAAATATTCCAGAGACCATTTTGAAAATTTTCTCTAAAAGAAAAAAAAGCATAAATTCATCAAGTAGAGAAAACCGAGCTTCATGTTAGCTCTTACATTGCATGCAAAGGAATTAGCATCCAACTCAACACAAGATTTAATAGACTAGAAATTTTTCTTTAGACAAAATGTTTCCTAATACATGCCTCGTATTTTCTAATTATAACCAACTAATTTTACAAAGTCTATAGTCCTAGGTTCATGCAAAACCAAGGAATTCCAACATCTATAAGAGTACCCATCATGATAATCTCCTACCCTCCACAATTACTCCTAGTGCAAATATTTAAAAATCAACCTGAAATACAATACATAACATACTAGAGGAAATGAAAAATATCCAAAGGAATAAAAATTAATTATTAGAAGATTGAAGTCCCAGAACCCATGTAAACTTAAACAATCAATTCATAAAACATGGAGATGCAATAAAAAATGATGAATTGCACAAAATATTTAGAATCGGACCAGACAGAAAGGAAAGATTCAAGGGTTCAAGGGTTCTAATTATGATTTAACTGTGATGATGAGAAAGAATTATTAAAATTAATTAAAACATTTAAAACATTTAAATGATGTAATATTTCTAATAATTCTAATAAGTAATAATATGCATATAAATAATACATCCCATGAAATATAATAACCATATAAATGGATGAAGTCTCAAAAATGTTAATTCCAACCCCTTCGCCATTGTAATTTCTACTAAAACCAATTCAATCACGCCGAATTTAATGGTCGAGCATAGGGGTGTCAATTTTTGACACGACACGAAACACGACCCGAACCCGACCCGGAAAAATCAGGGTTCGGGTCAACCTGAACCCGAAACGGGTCGGGTTCAGGTTGAACAAATCAACCCGTTTTAAAAATCGGGTCGGGTTCGGGTTGACCCATCAACCCGAAATTGACCCGAAAGTGACAGGAAAACTCATATTTGACCCGAAAACCCGAGATTGACCCGATTTTGACCCGAAAATCGAATATTGACCTGATTTTGACCCGAAAATTAGCAATTTTAGGTCAACTTCGGGTCATTCGTGTTAGGTCGGGTTGACCCGGACCCGAATCGGGTCGGGTCGGGTTCGGGTCAGGAAACCTGACCCGTTTTTAAAAACGGGTCGTGTTCGGGTTGACCCGAACAGTGCCGGGTCAATTCCGGGTTCGACCCGAACCCGACCCGCTGACCCGAATTGACACCCCTAGTCGAGCAATTCAACTACTATTTTCATGAGTTTATTCTGGTTCCTACAAATTTGATTTTTAATTAGATCAAACCTATTTGAGGGTTTGTTCATAATCCAACCGTCTGATTATATCCAATTTTCATAACCATGATTGCAAGTCATGGTGAACAAGAAAACTAAAACAATGAAAAATGCAAAAGACCAGTCAACATATCTAAGGCCCAAATCTAACCGATCATATAAGAAACTACACATAATCTAAAAAATAAAAGTTAAACAACCCCAAAAACTAAATAGGAAATAATCACGTGTGAACAAAACTACTGACTAGAAGCACACCAAATGAATCAAACCAAGCTAAGTAAATTAGAACAATAGAGAACACATGCTATTCTCATAGGATGCATCATCATGAGCATATTTTTTGCAAATAAACCTAAAATAACATCAAAATTACAAAATAAAATGTTATTAAATATGAAAATACTAATTATTTTGCTAATTTGCTTAAGGCAAGAGAGTTGTTTCCAATGAGTACAGAATTTTATATATCCATTACTATAAGCCTCTATAAGTAGCTCAATGTTCGCAATGGTTCTGAAATGCAAACTACTTGTTGCATTGGCCATTTGATACATTTGAGTCGGATGAAGTTTGTAATTGAGTATAAGAGTTCTAATGGAATATTTGGTATTCCGCCTATAATAAGAAGAAGAAAATGCCATAAGGTTACTCACATGGTAAGATACATTTAATCATTTGCAATTTACAAGCAAAAACTATCATATAATGTGACAAAGATGTTAAACTCTACTTGGAGTAGATGGTTAAATGCATTATAAGTAAGATGCAGAGTATCTTATGTTATAGCATTATCACTGAAACATTAAGAAGTTATTGTAAGGCATTCATATAACTAATGCTGATAGTAAGGCAAGATGAAACCTTAACACAACTTAGAATAGATCTATAATAGAGGTGTAATAATAAATCTCATAGCATACACGTTAATTGTAGTCTTGTCCTGCTTTCACATTACTTTAACTTACATACATTACAATGACTCATCCTATTTGAGGGTTTTGTTGGCCATACTGTTTTTCCTATCATTATAAGTTATTTAACCACTGGTCCAACCAAGCAAATGCATTAGCAACATTCAGCAAGTAAATGACACTGATGATGTTTGTCAACAAACAAAGTTCACAAGTTCCAAGAGCATGCCATGGCAGACTCACACAAATCAATAACATCAAAACAAGATGGCATCCACCAATGCCATGTCAACAGGGTGAATTCTAGCAGTAGTCATTTGTCACCATAGAGGTAGAATTATATAAAAAAGTGCAAGGCTACTCCCCATCCTAACATACACGAGGGTAATGTTCTACAAGCATTGATGAGGACAAGTGAATTTAAATTTTACACACAAAATGGAGCAATAATCAAAGTACAAGATTAAATCTTAACTCAAATTTAGATGAAAAAATCTAGGTATAGTATGATAAAAACTTTTCTAAAAATGTTTGTTGCAATCCTTTAAAATTTCAAGTTCTTCTTTAAAACATAGATCAACTGCATGGGTGGGTATGGCTATGTTTCACAATATTATGTAGACCTAAACGCCTCTATAGTTCCAGTTCAGAACATCCACTCCAATAACAAGTTAACATTCTCTTACTCAGTAAAAGGCTTAGCTACTCATTGGTGTTGCACATACCATGGGCATTCTCAAACTTTGATATAGAAGCAGTGTGAGAATTCATATATTTCTCTTGCTTGTTGTTCCAGCTAGAATTCATATTTGTACCCGCAAGCCACATCCATATGCTGGAAAAGATGTGGAATTGAAGACTGGTCATGAACCAAGATGGTGATGATAAATTCTGCAAATCTTGCCAATGACAATTTAATGGTGGCCTTCAATTCTATATTTTGGGCATTTCACAGCTAGAAACATATGGGTATTTCACAAATATGAATTCTAGCTAGCGAGATCTTAGATACTCTAATGTGGCTTATGGGTACAAATATAGAATTCATATTTGATATTCTTAATCAAATGATATGTTTAAGACCTCGCTGATCTTGAAAGATACTTGCATTAATATGAAGTTGATATCTATTACAATTAAAATTGTGATTGTAAGGACACTTTCTTTATTATCATAAAACTCAGATCATAAGATTTCATATAATTTAAAATTCCTCTTAGATGCATCTTTGTATATCTAGTATAATAGCATTCCATTATTTCATTGCATATAGTTGGATACATCAGGTCATCATGACCATGGTTATTTTTAAGAGTTGGTCTAACGAGAATTATCATGTTTAACTTTAGTATTATTTAACTTTAAATTTTCCAAATAACTAAAGATGATATTTTTACCCTTGGTGACAAACAGAAACTTATATTTTCCAAGCATTGAAAAATAAACAAAAATATATATTTGTTAGCAAGG